CGCGGTTCGGTCAACATCAAACGCGACGCGAGCTCGATCATAACGGCCTCGAGCAGTCGATCACCACCACCACCTCCTGCTCGACCTTTCGAGTCTTTTCGACCGGCTCTCCGCTCCGCCTACCGGTGCTCGACACACTACGCGCTGCTTGCGCATCGGCGCGCACTTACTCTCGGCATACGCAACACTAGGCACGCGACGGGATTGGACGATAGGGACAAGTCGTAGGGTATAAAAGGACAACTCGTATGTAGTTCTCGAGGGGAGACGACCCCCGAATCGCACATCGTTACCCGCTCTCGTCTCGTCTCCGCCCGACTCCGTCTCCGAACTGTCTCCGTTTCGCCCACGTCCGCTTTACACACATCTATTCCCCTTATTCTTACCTACTCTATCTACCCATTCGGCAGCCGCTGAACCCGCCTCTTAACCTCGCGCATATATATTTCATTTTGGATTCGGCCTAGCCCACCCGCCGGTCCGCACTACAACTGGAGCCCACCGCGAGGGCGCAGAGCATTCAAGCTGCCTCCCCGCCCTTCACGAGGCTCTTCAACATCCCAACCACGCGACTCCCGCGGACGTTTCACGCGTAACCACCGTTCCCTCGACCGCGAACTCGTCGACGCCGCTTCCGCTAGTGCGCAGCCCACAGGCCCGAACGCGCCCTTCGCCTACCCTCCTTGGCCCTCGTCGCCTCCCCTGTCCTACTCTCCTCCATTCCTGTCTCTCACTCCGCTGCCTCCGAGTCCCGTTATGGCCGCTCCCGCACCCACTCCGATGCCCGCTCGTGGCGACCGCAGCGCCCCCGTCTTCCGTCAGGCCTCCGACCTCCCCGGCTACCTCGAGGAGCTCGAGCGCCTTTTCACCGAGCACAACATCACCGACGAACGGCAGAAAATCGATCACGCCATCCGGTACCTCCCATACGACGAAGCGCGCATCTGGCGCTCGGCCGAAGCGTTCACGGACGTCACAAAGTCCTATGCTGATTTCCGCAAGGAGATCACGGATCTCTACCCCGGTACCGCGCTCGAAGGCCAAGCGACGCGCGCCGATATCGAGTCCCTCGTCTCCGCCCGCGCCGCCACTCCCATCCGCACACGCACCGAGCTCGGCGAGTACAACCGCCGGTTCAAGGTCATTGCCGACGATCTACGCAAGAAACACAACGGCGCCCTCTTCTCTGAGAACGACGCAAACGACCTCTTTCTTCGCGGCTTCACCGGCGACCTTCGTGACCGCCTCCTCCGCTGCCTCCAAACCGCGCTCCCCACGCACAACTTCGAGCTTGCCTATCCGCGCGCCACCGTCTTCAAGGAGGCCGACGCGATCCTTTCTGGTCAACGCGGTCCCACCACGCTCTTCACCTCGGCCCCTCCCGCGACGCTCAAACAGGAAGATATCGCCACCGCAGTCCGGTCTGCGGTCGACGCGCGGATGTCCTCGGTCGAGAATCTTCTCACCGTGTTCATTTCGTCGTTCGGCACCGCGGCTGGCGCACGCTCTCAGGCCGGCACCGCATCGAACAGCCCGCAGGCCCCCTCGCTCTCACACCCCTCCGACCTCTCGTGTCTCTTCTGCGGCGGGCCCCACCTCATCCGCAACTGCGAGGTCGTCCTCGACTACATCAAGCAAGGCAAAGTCATGCGCAACGGCGACGGCAAGCTGGTTCTCCCCAGCGGTGCGTACATCCCGTCCAGTCGCTCCACGCCTGGCGCCACGATGCAGGCGCGGGTTGATGACTGGCACAGCCGTAACAAAGGACAGATGGCCGTAGTCCCGCGCGACCAGCCGCCTCACCTTTCGTCCAACTTCCTCGTTCTCTCGCCCACCTCGTCGACTGTTCCCCCGTCCAGTTCCTCCTTCGCTGCCGCTGAAGACAATTGCACCGACGACGAGCAAGACGACCCGGTCCGGCGCTACCTCCGCGAACGCCTCGCGTTCTGCGTCGAGGGTGACCCCCGAATCCCCGTCCTCGAGGCAGAGCTTCGCGCCCGCACCGCCCAGGTTTTTGATGCCGAAAAGACGCGTGCTTCCGCCCGTGCAAACAAGGGCAAGGGTCCGGTCCGTTTTGCGGACGAGCAATACGAGGGCCGCGCCAACGACGATCTCCGCAACCGCCCTGCGCCAGCGCCTATCCGCGAGCCCACGCCCGAGCGCGATGCGTCCCCGCCGCCTGCGCCTCTCCGCAAGTCTGCGCCGTCCGAATCCACTCCGTCGGCGCCGTCTGCTCCGGTTCAGATCCCTGCTGCGACGCCTGCTCCCGGTCCTCGTCCGCCTGCTGCCGCGCCTCAGGCCGGTCGCGTCATCTACCCACCGAAGGTTCCCCGTCCCGCTGGTCATACGGGCACCCGCAACGTTGCGCCCATTGAAGAAGACCTCGTTGTCGGCCGGCTCGTGGATGACATCCTCGACGCTCCACTCCCCAACGTCACTGGTCGTCAGCTCCTCGGCGCTTCTTATGCTGCGCGTCGCGAGCTCGCTTCCCGTATCACCCCGCGCAAGGTCTCCGCCGATCCCGACAGCACCACGGCTCTCTTCTCGTCCGGCCCTCCTCCTAGCCTCGACTTTGATTGCGATGACTGCGGCGGTGTGCACCGACACGTCTCGGCCTATCCGATGCAGCGCCTGCGCGTTCTGCGCCCGCTCATTGCCAACGCAGTCATTGCCGAGTGCGTCATTGATTCCGGCTCAGAGGCTGTACTGATGCGCAAGGATGTTTGGCTTGCGACCGGCTTTCCGCTCTACGAGGACGACGCTATCTCGCTTACAGCTGCGAACTCAACCACCACGCGCACGCTCGGCGGCCTCCGCAACGTACCCTTCAATATCGGCGGCATGGAGGTCTATCTTCAAGTACAAGTTATCGAGGACGCGCCGTGGGAGGTCCTGCTCGGGCGCTCCTTCCTCACGCACACCTCCTGCATCACCTCGGACAAGATCGACGGCTCCTCCATCCTCACTCTGACGAACCCCGAGACCGGCGAGCGCATTCGCGTCCCCACACTCGAGCGCCCGGTCGCTGTTCCTCCGGCTCGCAAACAGGGTTTTCCATAAGCGTCGATGAATCGGTTTCGCGCCGACGAGGCGCTTCTGCGTCAAGATTAGAACCCGGACTTCTCTCTTCCCCTCTCTCCGTTAAACCCTCCGTTGTTGACCCCCATAGAGTACCGTCGCGTATAACGCAAATACATCTGCTTCAGAAACCTTATACTCCCGTGCGACGCAAGATGTGCAACGCGCTCTCCTCCTCTCCCTCCACTAATTCTTTTAGACTTCCACCTTCCAACTTCGCCTCCGGACCCACGAACTCCTCGCCGACTCCACCTCCTCCTTCTACTCAACCCCTCCATCCGACTTCGGTACCGACATTGCATACTCTGTACTCGTCGCCTCAAGCTTCGCTCTTCGCCATCACCTCGCTCCAGCTCCCGCCGACTTGGGAATCAGTTCCCACTGACAAGTTTTCCGTCTCCTCGCGTTCCATCATTTTCGAGCTCGATCTCAGCACTGCGCCATCGCCATCGCCATCCGGCTCCACACCCATTTCCGTCTTCGGCACCAAGTACAAAAAGGTTTCAAAGCGTACCTTCCCTGTCTCGACGATCACACCCGAGGAATTCCGTATCGAGCGCCGCAAACCCACCGACCCTCTCGCGAACATGCGCCCGCTTCCCGCTGTACCTCCACCCTTTGAACCCGGCTTGCGCTATACCAAGGAACGGATGCGCGCACAAGATATCGACCCACACGGCTTTCTCCTGCCCGAAGAACTTTGCCTCGCACACTGGATTTTGCGCGAGAACGAGTGCGCGCTCGCCTGGGATGAGTCCGAGAAAGGACGCTTCTCAGATGAGTGGTTCGATCCCATCCGCATTCCGACCGTCGAGCACGTTCCCTGGGTCTTCAAAAATATCCCGATTGCACCTGGTATTCGCGACGAGGTCATCAAGATAATCAAGGCGAAGATTGCTTCCGGGACTTACGAACATTCAAACTCGTCATACCGATCGGCCTGGTTCTGCGTGCCGAAGAAGGACGGCAAGTCTCTCCGACTCGTTCACGACCTGCAGCCGCTCAACCGCGTGACTATCCGCGATGCCGCCGTCCCACCGAATATGGATCAAATGGCCGAAGACTTTGCCTGCCGCGCCTGTTACGGTATACTCGATCTCTTTGTCGCCTTTGACCAGCGCTCGCTCGACGCCCGCTCTCGCGATCTCACGACATTCCAGTCTCCTCTCGGCACCCTCCGACTCACTGTCATTCCCATGGGCTACACAAACGCTGCGCAAATCATGCAGGGTGACGTCACATGGATCCTTCAAGACGAGATCCCTGAGTATACCACACCCTACATCGACGACGTGCCTGTCAAGGGCCCCCGCTCGCGTTATGAGCTCCCTGACGGCTCCTTTGAGACGATCCCCGACAACCCCGGCGTGCGACGCTTTGTGTACGAGCACTTCCAGACAATGCACCGTATTTTACATCGCATGGGCGTGTTCGGCGGTACTTTCTCCGGCAAGAAACTCACCCTCTGCGCGCCTGAGATCGAGCTCGTTGGCCACCGTTGCTCATATGAAGGTCGTGTTCCGGACCAATCCCGCATCCGGACGATTCTCGACTGGCCGCCTTGCACCTCTCTCACCGATGTTCGAGCTTTCCTCGGTACCTGCGGTGTTATGCGGGTTTTCATCAAGGACTTCGCGCGCATCGCCCGTCCGCTTGTTCGTCTCACGCAAAAGGACACGCCGTTTGATTGGACCGACGCACAGCAGGACGCGATGGACACGCTCAAGCGCGCATTCGCGGAGTCTCGTGCTCTCCGCCCCATCGACTACGAGTCTGACAGGGCAGTGTACCTCTCCGTCGACTCATCTATTATCGCTGTCGGCTACGTACTCTCACAGCTCGGCGTGGATGGCAAGCGCTATCCTGCGCGTTTTGGTTCCATCCCGTGGCGCGAACACGAGTCTCGGTACAGCCAGCCCAAGATCGAGCTCTACGGTCTTTTCCGAGCGCTCCGCGACGCTCGGATTCATATCATCGGTGTCAAGCATCTCGTCATCGAAGTGGACGCCTCCAGCATCAAGGGGATGCTCAACAACCCCGACCTCCAACCCAATGCTACGATCAACCGCTGGATCGCGGCCATCAAGCTCTTCGATTTCGACCTCGTCCATGTCCCAGCTGATTCGCACAAAGGCCCAGACGGTCTCTCACGTCGCACTCCCGCTCCGCACGAAGCTGCTGAAGCGCCTGACAGCGTGGAAGCGTGGATTGACGATGCGTGTGGTTTCTCCGCTCTAGCCAGCTCTTGTCCCTCCCCTCATCCCAAATCCACTCCCCTCATCATCAATCCCCCGCCTGGAATACCTGCTTTCTCCCTCGAACCTGTTACCTCCTCTGAATCCGTCCTCCCACCCCGCGACACCAAAGCACAAGCTGCCGACGTCCGTCTTTCTCAAGTCGACCACTACCTCCGCAACCCGCTCGATCCGCTCGAACTCGATCCGAAGCGCCTTCAAGGCTTCCTTCGGTACGCCTCCGATTTCTTCCTCTTCGACGACCGACTCTGGCGACGCGCGACAAATGGCGCCCACCAGCTTGTCATCTTTGATCCCCTTCGCCGTCTCTCACTCCTGGAGCAAGCCCACGACTCGCTCGGCCACAAGGGCAAGTTTGTAGTCCGCCACAACCTCCTCCGCCGCTTTTGGTGGCCACACCTCGACTCCGACGTCTCCTGGTTTGACGAGACCTGTCTCGAGTGCCAGAAGCGGCGCACGCACCACGTCACCATCCCTCCCACCGTCGCTTACCCCGCTCCGCTCTTCCGCAAGATCTACGTCGACACCATGCATATGCCGCCTGCGAACAAGTACAAATACATCGTCCACGGTCGTTGCTCGCTTACCGGCTGGCCTGAGTGGCGCGCACTCCGGGTCGAGAACGCCGAACAGATCGGACGCTGGCTCTTCGAAGACGTCCTGTGCCGATGGGGCGGAGTCGAAGAGATCGTGACCGATAATGGCCCCCAGTTCCTCGCCGCTGCAGCCTGGCTCCGCGACAAGTACGGTATCCACAACATACGCATTTCCCCCTACAATTCTCGCGCTAACCTCGTCGAGCGCCGCCATTTCGACGTTCGTGAAGCCATCGTCAAGAGCGCCGGTGACGACGTCGCGCATTGGTACAAGTACGCCCCCCACGTCTTTTGGGCTGAGCGCGTCACTATACAGCGCTCCACCGGCTTCTCCCCCTTCTACATGGCTCACGGCGTAGAGCCAATCCTCCCCTTCGACCTTGAAGAAGCAACATGGCTCGTAAATTACCCCACCGACTCTCTTCCCGCTTCCACCACCGACCTCATCGCCGCCCGTGCCCGTGCGCTCCAAAAGCGCGAAGACGATCTCGAACAGCTACGCGAACGCGTATTCAAGGCCCGCATCGACGCTACGACACGCGCAGTACAGCGCGACGCCGCCAAGATTCAAGACTTCGACTTCCAACCCGGCACTCTCGTCCTCGTCCGCAATTCAGAGAACGAGAAGAACCTCTCCGGAAAGACGAACCCGCGCTATCTCGGCCCCATGGTCGTCGTTCGGCGTAACGCCGGCGGTGCCTATGTCCTCGCCGAGCTCGACGGCTCGCTCAGTCGTCTGCGGTACGCCGCCGCTCGTCTCTATCCATTCACTCCCCGCCCCCACATCTCCGTTGACATCTCACACCTCACCAACCTCTCCCCCGCTGAACTCGACGCACAAACTCAAGACCCACCCTCCGAAGACTCCATTCCCAACTTCGACATCCCTCTCAACAACCCCGATCTCGACCCGCTTTAACCGCCTCATTCTGTCTCTGCTCGCCCCTCCCTCCCCCCGCACATCTTCTGTTATTGCCTCGGTCTCGTCCGTCACCTCCATCAAACATCGTCCCGCACACCGTATCATATGCTATATCTTATATCACTTTTGTGCCTCCTCGCCGTATTGACTTCAAGACTACGCCACCGCCACGCCACAAAACCCGCACCGTTCAATGTTCCCGACCCTGCCACACATCTTCGCCATACCACCACTGCGCCGCTCTCTTTCCCGCTTGACGGAGTGACCCGGGAGGGTCACTGTCTTTCGTTTGGGGGGAGATGTAGCGCGCCCAACGCGAACACGCCCGCCGACGTCTGCACTGCCACAAACAACCACAAACAAGTACGCCGCTTCGTTATCGCGCGGCCATCGCTTTCCTCTCCCCACCACCAAGCCACCAGGTCAGGACTGGGCCGTCCTGACAACCAGCGTGAGCACGTTGAGTCGAAGGGGCCCAGAACCTTAGGAAGCTGCAGTGGCCGGACACGAGCGTTGTTCTGTCATTGAGCTTCCAAGGTTTTTATCTTGTACCTCGTTGGAGCTGTCGCCGCTTTCAACCACCACCACCATCACCCCTTCGACGACCGCCCATGCGCTTGCAGCGCGCACGGCACGTATCACTCAATCTGACGACGTCACATGCGCCTGAGGCCCCTGCGATACAACGACTCCGGCGCCTTCGGCGCGCGGTTCGGTCAACATACAAACGCGACGCGAGCTCGATCATAACGGCCTCGAGCAGTCGATCACCA